GTTGATGGTGATGCTGGTGGTGAAGGTGAAGGTGATGGTGATGGTGAAGGTGAAGGTGAAGGTGATGGTGAGAGGGAGGGGAGGTTAAGGTGATGGTGATGGTGATGGGAAGGTGGTGTTGATGAGAGGTGATGGTGATGGTGATGATATTTGTTAGTCTGATCATTTTCCACAGGCACAGGGCACCAAGCACATTCAATTCTCTGGTCCAGGAAAGACTTGGGAAAGAGACAATCTGATCTTTAATTCCTTGCCAGGTCCTTCTCCTCTGGCCATCCCCTAAAGGTTAATGCCCCCCAAACTCTGTAGTCTCCTTCTCTGGACATGGACCCTTTCTGCAATGCCATTTGCCACTAGAATGATGGTACTCAAAAATCTCAGTTTTCATTCCAGAACTTTCCCCAGAGCTCTGTACTCAGGTCCATTTACTATCTGTTGGACAGCTCCACCTTAGGTTCTCGGGCTCCTCAGACTAATGACTTGCCAGATGGACTCATGGCCTTCCCCCACAGACCTCTACTCTTTTTCCTTCATTTCCCATCACCTTCACTCAGCTTCCCAAGAATCCCCTGGACACATTTAGGACCTTGTGAAGTTGCTGAGGTTGGCTTTGAAACCTGCCATCCTCCTGCCTCAGCTTCCAGAGTCCCTGGGATTACCGGTGTGGGCCACCATATCTGCCAAGAGCATTGGTTTTCATCCCCCTAACATCCGCCCCATGGCAAGAAGCTACGATTTCCTCTTGGGGGTCTCTCGTATTTGGCCCCTCTCTCATGTCCAGGTTCATGCCTTGGCTCAGGCCCTCACCACCTCTCCCCTGGATTACTGCAATACCTCTCACACGCCTCCTGTCTGACCCCTCCAAATCTTCCACCAAACCACCCCAGGAGAGCTTTCTCAAGAGCAAATAAGAGCAGGTCACACCCAAATCAACATGTCTCACTGGCTCCCACTTCTTGTGAATGAAAACCAATGCCCAGAGACTCCAGAAGCTGAGGCAGGAGGATTGCAGGTTCAAAGCCAGCCTCGGCAACTTAACAAGGCCCTAAACAACTTAGTGAGACCCTGCCTCAAAATAAAAATAATTTTAAAAAAGGGCTGGGGACGTGGTTCAGTATTGAGCACTGCTGGGTCCTATCCCTGGTACCAAAAATAAAAAATCCCCTGCCTGCCTACCTCTTTGGTTCTGTCCCCTGCTGAGGTTGATCATTTTTTTGCAAAGATGGCCACACCAATATCTCCCATCCACATGCACCTCTTATAACGTGCCAATGACATGCCATAAAGAGGCAGGGTATATGTTCTGTCTCTTTGAGTATGAGCCACCTGGCTACTTGCTTCTAATGAGGAGAATGAAGCAGAGTAGAGCTATGTAACTTCTGAGGCTTGGTCCTAAACACAGGTAGAGAATGCATGGCCCATTCTCTCTTAGGATCCTTAGAACTCAGACACTGTTGGGAAGCCCCATCTTCCTTACTTGTGGGGAGCCCACAGTTGGTGTTCAACTGACAACTCCGGCTAAGATTTCAGCTCTTGGTCAGAGTTCACTGTCAGAAATATGACTGAATGAGCCTTCAGATGATTCCCGTCTCAGCTTCTGATGCCAATTAAAACAGAAATGAGCTACCCCTACTGAGCCCTGTACCCATTGTAGGTTGCCAGGAAACCAAGAGCTGTCACTGATTGAAGCCCTAAGCTTTGGGTTGCTTTGGCAGGCAGCTTTGGAGACCAGCAACACCTGCTATCCACTTTGCTCCTTGGACACCATCAAGGTTCTACTCTCAAAGGTCCCCAGAGCACACACACTGTGCCTTTGCTCACAGTCTGTGCAGAATTATCTTCCCCTTTGTTATCTGGATTGCTCCCCCTGGCTTTCAGGAACCCCCGTACCCAGCACAGTGTTCAGTTGTGTGACAAGTTCGAGGTTGCTTCTGACAATCCTAAGCATCCTGTTGCTGACTTCACAGAGGCACATGAAGACTCAGCATGTGGCATCCAGCAGAGGAGTGAGGACCATCATAACAGCGGAGGAAAGAAAATGATGGCTGGATCCAAGGCCTCGCCAGGGCAGTGGTCATGTAGGGAGGGCAGATCAGGGCCTCCTGCAGAGGCTGAATTGACACTGATTCCCGGTGGAGGAAGAGAGGTGATTGAGTTTCTACCATGACGGCCAGAAAGAGGCAAAGCTATGCTGGACACAGGACCATGGAAGAAGAGCTTCTGTGGAGATGAGATCAGCTTTGGAGCACTCGAGTTTCTGAGCACTGAGCTCAGAAAAGACCATTCTCCTTCCATCCAGTTTAGTAATGAATTAACAGCAGTTACTAATCTCTACTCGCTTCCTCAGCAGTCTCATGAGAGGAAGATGGGAATAGTGTGAGAGAATATCTATCTCATATTTTTTCCTGAAAGATAGATTTTAAAAATTTCCTGTAAGTACAGAAATTCCCCAAGCTGCTAGGTGGAAGACTCCAGCAAGAATCAGCTGACATCTTTCCTCCCCACTCACCTTCAACCCCCTTACAGGCCAACCTCATCTCCAACTGTGGGTCACTACAGCTCTGTCAAGTCTGTGTACCTCATGGGTGGCCTAGCAGAGGTGCTGGAGTGGATGTGGACCCCAGGTGTAGACACAGAGATCAGATATATGACTATGGGTGGGGGGAGGAATGCCTGGAAATGAGACAGCAGTAGATGGATGGTTCAACAGAACTTTCTGGCCAGGGCCCTTCAAGGTCACAATCATTTGACCTCAAAAACTGTGTAATGTGGATTAGATCATGGGACCATGACCCAGGCTGCTCAAATCAAATACCCACTATATGGCCAGCCGTAAATAGAGTAAGGAACACTCAACATGGGGTAGAAGAGATAGAAACCCATCCCTCAAGGACATAGGTTTCAAAG